AGCTTGAAATATTTCTAGATCCGCTCTATGTTTTAATGTGGATACGTTACGAGATACGCAACAGAGAGACAAGTCAAATATAGTGAAATATTTATTGAATGACAATACGATTACATTTTATTTCTTATACTGATGAATAGTTACATTACAATTGCCACTAATGTTAATTGGTCCATCAGAACAGTAATTCCAACCCGGGGGAGTGTTTGACTGATTAGGTTCCCTTCCCACCTCTCCAAAATCTAAATCCTCGTCTCCAAAAAGATCAAAATCAAACAGTGGCATGTCAATGTCAGAAAGATCACCTGCATTACTGGTATCTAATTTAACTGGCTTTTCTTCAACTGGGCCTAAAATCTTCGACACTGTTGCCTCCTTTCCCTTGTTTGTCTTTTCATAAGTAAAGAGAGAATTACTTGTGTGGCCAGTTCGTTCACGAATTAGTTTTTCGTCTACATGTTCATTGAACAGCTTTGTAGCTAACGTAACCCTAAGGCAATGGCTGGTTTTCCTTTCTATTCCTATGGCCTCACATAAACTAGGTAGTATATTATCTAAAGTATGAACTCCCAACACAGCATTCTTGAAACCATAGCGATCATTATAGGGCTGAAAGTAGAAAGCCTTATCCTTACAACGTAGTGTATTGACGAGCTCTAGGTAACGCTTATAAATCTTAATTAAACAGCGTTCATGCTCTTCACCTTCTTTATGACAAACATGTCGAATAACCCTCGGCTTCTTTTTTAGGTCTTTTATGCCCCCATGAAAAGTTTTTGACGAGTTTTCACGAAAAATAATACATTCCGACTCAATTTCAATATCCTTAAGCCTTAATATTCTATGTTCTGATGCCCTTAAACCAAATAATTTGCCATTATAATAATACACAGTATGCATTAACGTCTTAGCTGTTTTTGCTCCGAGGTGACCTTCTTTCCACATCCTCCCCTCCTCTTCGTCTGTGATTGGTTTTCTCTCCTTTTTCTTGTTAGATACACCTTGAACATGGGCGTCTTTCATTTCCGCATCGAGTATCTTCCAAAGCCCACTATAACTGTCGAATAAAACACACTTTAGCTATGTACGTCCCCTAATAGATATTATTCAAAAATGAATTCCAAAAAATCAATATAACTAACTGATAATGCAGTCATATGTAATTTTATAGCGTCGATTCACCTACGATTCAACAACGCCTTACACAGATGGATTTCAAGAAACACTGCTTACATGTACAAACTTTGTTAATTAAAATGTTTTAGTAAAATACATTAAAAAAAGTTATTTTAAAGGATTGTAAAAATACTCACCATGGGTTATTTTTCTCCAATAAGTTTACATCTCGTCTGTGCAACGCCTCTAAATGCCGTTTCAAACCTGCAACTATTTGGTACAAAGTTGGACCAGGATATCGCTTTCCTTTTTTATCGGCCACTTCTTGAATGAATTTTCCAATCCAAAAGTCTAGAGATTTAGGCGTCATCTTTTCCAAAGTGGTTTCAAGATTTTGTATAGACTGCAAATCAAAGTCTAGCGAAGTTTCTTCTCGGGACGCTATCTTGTTCACCCGTGCACGTTTCCAGTCTTCAAATAAGCTTACAGCCCATTTGTTTTTGTAGCGGGTGGATATAGGAACAGCATTAGCCAATTTATTGGCCTCTTCTTTTGAAGAAATCGTTTTCCGAAAGCGCTTTAGAGGAGGTTCAAAATCTAGATCTTCGCTTTCACTCTCCGCCATGCTTGTCGTCTAGCTAATGACTGAAATGTTCTTAACAGCAAAAAAGAATGAGCATTTCCACAAAGCAAATGATTAAGAATGAAAATACCAGCTGAATTCAAAAGTATCATTATTATGTAAATCCCAACATACTATGATCCCATGAGACGGTCGCATTGATGCTTTGTATATGAATGATTATTCCAAAAATGAAAGCGTAATTAAAAAAAGGTTTTCTTTAGCTTTTGTTATAAAACGAAAAGTAAAATACATTTATACCAAGTTCTACAAAATATATTTCATTTTAAACTTGAATAATATGAATTTTATATTAAATTTCAATGTTAACGCCTCGGACTGGAACTAATTGCGCGGACTTGAAATCCCGTCCAGTCCTCATTGTCGGACTTTAAACATTACATCTCTGAGGTTTTCGACGCAAGCTCTGAAAGAGGCAGCCTTTTACTTGATTTTTTAAGATTCAAGATAAATTTTCGTTCAAACAACAGTCTTGAGGTTGCAAACAAATTCTTGGATAAAATGAAAAAGTCATGTCTATGTAAAGATGGTAAATACATCGCAAAGTCAGTACAAAGAATCGTTTTAATACACAAGTAACATTTTAGGGGTTAGCTCGAGTCACGTGTTCCTTTCATTTTTTTCTTTTTGGAAGAATGTGAACGAGAGAGTTACTAAGGAATCGCAAAGGACAAAAACCTGTTGGCTGTGGGGAAGCAGGCGAGAGCAATGAATGTTGTATTATCATTATATAACCGGTAATAGAGCAGCACGAATTGTAATCAGGTTACAATAATCTTCTCATATCACTTGATGTCTTTTTAGTTAGTATTATAAGAGTATTAAATTATCAAAATAGTAATTATGATAATCATAGCGGAGCTCCGTCCGTCCGTCCGTGTACATCGCGATTCTGATTGGCTACTTTTAAGAAGGCGGGAAAAGGAAGCGCGCTCGCGTCAATTTTTGAAACAACTTTTTCACCACAACGACGGCACAACGACTCCATTTTTGTCCTTTGAAATACTTTACTTCTGCGCCAAATGTCGGAAAATCAACGGGTAAATATTAAACGGAAAGCGATCTTTATCTGAAGAGGAACAGACAAGAAGAAGAGAAAGAGAGCGTCGAAGAAGTCTAAGTGAAGAACAACGCAGGCTTGAAAGGGAGAGAAAACGTGATAGACGAAACAATTTAATAAAGACTCAAGCAAATCGAGAAACAAGTGAACGCCAAAGACAACGATTATTGAGGGAGAATTTCTCATAGGAGAACTGACATATTCTCCGACGATACCGTGGCGTTATTAAACAAATGGCGGTATGTTAGATTATAAGCTTACATGCAAGCGGTTTTTGGTGCTCAATTATATCAATTCTTCTACTTCAAGAACCTTATAATAGGCAGTTTTAGTCTGGTTTAAATTTGCTTTTGAATTTGAAAATCTTTACCTGATACACTTCAAAACTTCTCAATTAAATGAGCTTGTTGACAATGAAAATATGTGTGAATTGTGTGTACATTCTATCCACAATAATAATCTTGTTTGACATAAAACTACTCGGATGTTTTAAGTATAAAACTATGCATTTTGAAAAGAGAGCCTTGATATTATTNAGGCAAGCTTAGAATCGTTGCTTAGAAACATGAATGACAATAACACAATAGAAAAGGTCCCGGATATACCACTTTGAAGCATGTTGAAGGAAAGTCGTCGGTAATTTTAGACATGGTCTTCCACAGGAAGCCCATGTAAAAATTTTGAACATTTCAAGAACATATTAATTATTAATTTATGATGTATGCATGATTGAATAATACCAAAACTGTCAAAACGCATTTATATTATTTTATGATTCCTGTAAAGATTGAAAAATACCAACTATTAAGAATTTACAAAAAAGATTGCAAACAATTTCAATCTATTGACATATAATTAAGATGCATTTGTTATTATTTTTATTACCGTATTTCTGCATGATTGAAAAATTTCAACTGTCAATTCAAAATGCATTTAATAATATATATATAAATCCTGTATGATTGAAAAGTCAAAGTTTCAAAATATATTAATAATTTATATTAATTTATGATTTCTGTAATCGGAGTACAAACATTAAATGTGTGCAATACTTTCCACTATTTAGTACAAAATGATGTTAATTAAACAATAGAATTAGCATAATTTAGCAGTATTTAGTGGTATTTATGTTGCACAGTTTTAGTGTTTGTACTCTATCTAAAGAAGTTTTATTTTGGTAAATAACCTAAATTATGTTTTTAGCATTATACATGGTGTACTCTTCATAAGAAATTGTGCACTATCTGAATGCACACAATACCACAAGAATTCAAAATAAGTGGTTTTCTTTACATATATTTATATGTATCACTGCTTTGCATCAACAAAGCTGAAGAGAAAATATTTAATAATTATTTAATGTAGTGTAATGGAATTTTTTTTGTTAGAAAAAATAAATTAGTTTTGACAAAACATGTAATAAAATGTGGCCAATGTGTCTTGCATCCCATCTTTATCCAACATGCATATCTTTTGGGAGCTCCGCTATTAGGTTTTACCTAATTTTTATATTAATCAGAATTATTGATGTTAGCTAATTTTAGTTCTATCGATATCAAACTGATCATTAAATGTTGTGTGGAATCTATAACTAATAACATGGAGCACTAAAACATCACCATAACAGGTGTATGCTGGGTAACGATTTAAAGAGATTTTTCTACCATATAAATTTCAAAACGACAAATATGCTTGTCAATTTTCTTAGTCAGGACTTCTCCAACATTCTGTACTTAATAAACGACAAATTAAAAATAATTGCTGTCCTGTATTCAATCAAAGAGGTAGTCCAATGCCAGACCGTTCAATAAACACTCCTGAAAACGTTCAAACTTTTTTTAGATTTAATTATAACTAGACGATCATAGATCGCTTCCGCGGGCTTTCTGTAGTTTCCTGGTCAGCTGCCGCCAGTTGAGTCGAGGATCGAACCTTAGAGCTCTAGATTTTGGGTTCCTTGGGATTGCTTAACTGCGACGTGGAAAAAAAAAAAAAAGTCGCACGCTTATAACCGTGCCGAGAGGCCTTCGGCCTGTACACTCTAACAAGACGACCATAGATCGCTTACGCGGGCTTCCTGTAGCTTCCTGGCCAGCTGCCGCCAGTTGAGCTATAATTATTTTTTTTTTCACGATACTGTCTTTTTTGAAATAACTCAAAACAGAATTAATTAAGTCAATATAAATAATGTAAATCTTTATTACATCTTAATTTCTTACCGAACTGAACTAAGTACTACAGTCTTTAATTTTGTCATATAGGTCACGGTGAAACCGTAGATATCGTCATCAGGCCACGAGGCCGACTGAMKTACAAAACAACTCATGTCAAAAATGAAAACAAAGCGCTGTTGGTTTAGTTTGACATCCCCATGGATGTAATARTTTATTTATTTTGGGTGAGTGTTTATTTATTTTGAGTTAAAGTTAATTTATTTAATTTAGGTTAACATATATTTATTAGTCTCGCAGTGTGTATTTGCTCATTAGCAGGAAGTGTCGCCTTTCACCAGTTTTTCATTATTTGGTACAAAGAAAACCACTGACCAGTAACCATAGCAGGCTGTGTACCTGAAAGAAACGTAAAAAAAGAATACATTCAATATAGCTACCGGTTCCCCTGCCAAAGATTCGTCGACCGATCTAGATCGTGAATATGGTCGGGGTAACAGTTCTTCCCCTGGCAAACKTGCAGCAAAATGTGTGTGTTGTCAAGACTTACTTCACTGACAATTGTTATAAACTGCTAGTGTACCTTTCATTGCTGCCAACAAATTTTATGGACACTTTTTCCAACCGCCAGCCATCAACGGGTGCCAGTTTGTTAAAGTGCCAAACATCGATACTACGCAGGGTTCCCAAGTCGGCATTAAGAGGAGCAATAAATGTCTCGGTGCTGCCTTCTTTAAGATGTCGTCTAACAAARAAGAAGAACAAATCGAGATAAAACAAGAGAAAAACGAAAATSTTCAACCTACCGCCTGAGAGATTGAATTATAGTTAGCCAATCGCCATGTATTTTCCTGCGATTAATATCTGAAATTACTTTTCACATGATATACTCTTTCAAAACGCCCTAGCGCTCTAGACAAGTCTTCTTTTGATATGAGCTACCGCTGATTTCATATGATGCATACTCACGATCCAAGTTTGATTTTACCACTGTTTCCTTTGTCGCCATGGATACGAATCCTTGGGTTGTGCCCACCGCCCAGCCAACCTTTACGCGTCTTGAAAGTTATCAGTAAATAACGATGGACTARGACAGTTAATAAAAGATATTTCAACAATATATCTTAATACAAACACTCCATAAAGTGATTAGTATGTTCCTTCGATCGCGAGTAATAAACTTTTTTCCGTACTTCATATTGCCAGTTCAATTACGACTGTTGATTGCAAAATAATTTTAAGTTTTTATAATTTTATAGTACATTCAACAAAATAATACTTTTTCATTGGTCGAGAGGAGTACAATTACAGCGTTAAGYACTCCTTAGGAGTGCAACTGAATTACGAAGAACTTTCGAAACATTACTCCTGACTATTATATTAATTCCAAATTGTACTCAAAGTCGTGCGATTTCCTATGCTAATTGGGTTGAGAGTAATTAATATCGATGGTGAATGGGTTGTAAGGTTGACGTTCTCAACGGTGCGAAACATGCCCAGCATTTCGAGAATACATAAAATATATATATGACCAAGTTGATCACAAACCATCCAAACATGCATTGGTTCTCAGTGCACACTGTGAATTCAATGCATGCTTGTGTATCCATACTGGGATAACTCGCATAGGAATGAGGACTAGCTAACCAAAACATCTATGCACAAAGTATTTCAACTAGTTCAGTTACAGATAGGTATACTTGCCGGCGTAAGGACTGTCATCATTTGTGTAGAGATAGAAATCACCATTGTTCTTTCCTTGATATTTGATWGCATTGTATCCCATTTCCGGACACTCATTACCAGTACCACACGATATGCAGTTACCGCGTGTAAACTGGTCCCAGTTTGAGCAAGGATAGGACTGGAATGAAGTTGAGGACATGATAGAGTCAGTGTAGAAATGTCTGGCGCGATGATGATGGCACTTGACAATGTTGACACCATCTAAAATATCTGAAGTTAGACGAGAAAAAARTGTGATCAGGAATTGTACCAAGGAGGTCAGGGAGGAACATAAGCGTCGCTACACATTCTAGCTATAGGGCAGGGCAAAAAACTCGGTCCGTAACCTATCGTATGCCCCTCATTATGCATGTGCGCATTTTGATGCGAGTTAAAAACCGATGCTCTTGATTGGCTAGAAGTATATTATGAATTTTTTAAGATTTAAAACACTATAAATCTACCAGACAATGAGCATCCACGTTGAAACTCGCCGCCGTTAGGCCAGAAGTCAATATGACCACACTTTGAAGGCGTTCCGACCAATGGCGAGTTAGTGTGTATAACGTCAACGAAGCTTGCATCACTAGGGTCCAGTCTCACATCCGGGTGCTCGTCTTTATAATAAAGTGAAGCTGGGTCGAGACCTATTCAGAGCAAATCTATTGTGCAAATTATTTCAATGTGATCAATACCCCAATTTCGAGTTCCAGTTTGCTCTTTGTTAGCCTCAAAACATATTCTTCAAGTAACATATTCTTTTGTTTTATTGATAGCCCGAGAAAACGCATGGAATTTGAAAAGAAAGATAATGGAATTGATTTGAAATCTCACACTTTTCTTCTCACAATAAGGAATATTTTACGAGCAAATGAAGCTAACAAAGGCATTGGAGAATTCGAAACTGGATTATTCTCAAAGACGRGAAATATCTTATCGATGATGTTCGTGGATAGAAATAACCTCGTTCAACTGTTTTATGCGTCGGTCATCAGATTTTCTTAATAGGTTTTGTTTTTGTTTTTTTTCTTTTTGAAATTTTCAACGCGTTATCGTGTATTTAAAAACAATTCTGACGTGTAAACAAAGGATAAACAAGCTTTCTAAGTTCACTTATATTGTTTTTCATAGCGAGAAGGTATTTGGAMCAGCAGRSGTAGTCAGATGATACTTTCGATAAAWCATACCCGAGTKCATTTCGCATTTCCATAAAAAAATCATTGAAAGCACAATTACGATTTGTTTTAAAAAGATTCTATTGTTGAAACTTGCTTCCTTAGCTCTAAGATCATAGCAATTCGTATGTAGAAGAACCGCATTTAGGCTCATATGGTACATCTGGAACAATGTGCATTACCTGAAATACGGGACAGTTTGATGCGTTGAAGTCTTCTTCCAACGTAACCAGCGATGTGGGCACCAAGACTGAAGCCGATCACGTGGAATGACGCTGGAGTGTTGTGTGTGTTGGTGTTCAGAAACTTAATAAGTTCCGCTATCTTCAAGTTGATTTAAAGAAATAAATTTAATGTAACAAGCTACTTTTAGATGGCGACCGCGGTTTGACGTTGATTTTGTTCTGACTTAAATATTATRTTATACAATTGCTTTATCATGCTCCCTTTCGGCTTTAAAGCCTCAGTATCACTCTGGATGCTTTGCGACCTCCATTGTTTTTGTTTTGGAAAGAAGTGCTTGTTTCTGATTGGCCGGTCTAACCCTCAACCTTTGGAGTTGTGTTACACTCATATTTTTATTTAAGTCTATTTTGATAAGGTCAAAACATTTCGTGTACCAAGAWATTATGAGGAGATGCGCAAATCATCAAAGGCTGTACTGCGAGTTTTCAAAGAGTTGATCACGTGACATGTTTGAGTCTGATAAAGCTTTGTCCAGTTGGTATTTCATTTTCTATAGCCCATCGCCTCATACATCTGTTCATTCGTTCACAGTTTGTTGTAAATTTACCTGAGCACCTACTAGTCGTGTGTTGGCCACTGATGTCGTGTAGAATTCACGAGCTCCTTCCCTCCAACTCGCGAGAATCACGTTGACGTCTTCTCTGGTGATAAGTGCTTTACCCATTTCTAACTGCCATTGCTTCGCTGAATTGGCTGTCAATAAAAATAACGTACTAAATGATGACTGTTACAGTGGAAATTGAGACCTACAATCGTGTATTATTCTGTTTATGTCATTGTTATTAATAAGATATGGGAGCACAACTCCGACCGGAGTTCTTCCGGTGCGAAGTGGCGTACAGCCACGATGAACCTGCACCCGGCTCTATGTTTCCGATCACCAATTGACGAAGTAATGAATGCAATGGCGTGGTTTTAATTTATRCGACCTAACCAAAATATTTACCGAAAATATTTTCGGTAAATATTCATTGATAACCACTTCGCCTTCGGCGAATAATTGTTAATATTGAAAAGAGCTATGATTTCTGCAAAAACCGCCTAAAGGATCGAGTAAAAAAATGAAATAAAATTCGTCTTTACGTTATTTTTGTCATTTTTTACTTTTGGCTGTTTTCTAACATTTTTCAGGCCACGAGTTTTTGTTGTACGCCTGAAAAGCATTGTTGGTAATTGACATCATTCGACGTGGAACATAGAGTCGGGACAAATTCAACAAGCATTTCACTTAAATTTATTTTTCTCTAGAAATATAACCATAATTGAAATTTACAAAGGAAACCAGTCTTTGAAGTCAATTTGAAATCAGCCGCCATCTTGGATGATTGTTCTTACAGTTCTTATAGTTCTTACGGAGTTATTTATTCAAGAATCTAAGTTTTTATTACCCGGGATTACAAAGGAAACGCGAGTTTAGATTTCGGCTGTCTTTTTCTTCGTCATAGTCGTATTTCAATCAGAAATGGTCCTTGGCCAAACTAGAATGCACTGGGTACGAATAAAACCTATCACATGACATTCGCAACTTTATGTGCTATCTTTCGGTGGCGAGTGTAATAACTCGAGATGAAAGAAATGGATTCACCTTAAAATACGCTCAAATCACCTACAAATCCACAAACAAAAACACTAAACAATATCCATTGGTTTTTCGAAAGGGCATTTTGAGAGATACCGCGAATTAATTTATCATGAAACCTATCGTGAAATTTATCGTACTGCCTATCGTGAATTGTCTACCAAACAGGCAAGCTAACTATTATGATCTTATCAAAAGTGACGCTATATTGCTCTGAAACAACAAAGAACTTCTCTAAGGAATTCGTCCGTACGGACCGTATGGACCGCTTTTTAGCCAATGAAATCGTGTGTTACATCCGAGCTATATAATAATAAAACCTATGTAATAGTATTATAATGGGATTATTAATAATGTGTGACACTGCTAACATCTTCTTTCGAGACAAAAGTATGCCGACTTGATTCACGAACTTTCAAGAATCGCCGAGACATTATTCTAGTCATGTCAAATCTGCAATGGAAGAACAGCGAAGCCGAGTATCTTCGTCGACTCAAAGTATACGTCGACAAAACTAAACAAAATGAAAAGCTCTATGAATTTCTAAGCGATGTTTTACCACCTGCAATCGCCTCTGTTAGCTACGACTTCAAGCAGAAACGTCAACTG